CTGCATTGTACTTGAAGTTATGAAATCTCACAGAATAAATAGGAATGTATGCTGCTGATCAAGGCAGGGAAGTATCATTTTATGAGCTCTGCAACATCAAAGTAAAAGAAATATCATGGCTCCCTCGCTTCAAAAGTCCAGGCTTTCTGCCTCTGTGTGAGGAAAGCAACCACCTGCTGGCAGCTCCTCAGCTCAGGAATCTGTGGAGCTATCCTAGATAATTTAGGAGTTAAGCGTATTCTCAAGGCATAAATATATATCGCTGCATAAGTTTTAGTCTTGCACCTAAAAATAGATAGGTAATTTGCATTGCAGAATTTTTACTTGAAGCAGTTTCATGCCTACTATCCTGATTAGCAGGAATAGAAGCAACAGAGATGGTGGTTCTGGTTCAAAATGTACCGCTGAGACCTCTGTAGGTGGAGTAGGTTTAAAGGCATGAATCTTCTGTTGTGGGATGTTCCCACTTGATAACCACGGTGACATACGCTTTCTCTAATTGCTTTTGTTTCTTTGTGCAGTTGATTTTATAGGAGGGTTTGACTCGTATGGCTACCAGGGGCCTCAGAAGACCTCCCACCTTCAACTACAACCCATGTACATGTAAGTATGGGGACACTCTGTCTCTTTTGCAGATGCCTGGCTAAAATGCTTTGAGGTTAATTTTATCATATGTTGTACCAACAACATCAGTGCCATGGTCATTCCTCACTTTTTTAAACCCCGAAAAGCTCTCACCCTCTAAAATTCAACCCCAACAGTCTGTTTAGGGGCTCATTTTCATCTGGGTTTGATATCATGCATTCTGCAGAGGTGGATATAGGCACGTTCTTGCTCTATCAGCATAAGGGCTTATCATTTACCAGCTCAAGGTCTCATCAGTTATCACCATTGTGGTGCTTTTATCACCCCCCTCACAAATAAAGGTGAGCCATGTAATGAAAACCACTACACTGTTTTTGATAATTAGCTCTTAACCATCTTTTCCACTCTGACTGGAACGAGCACCTACCAGACTATTATTTTTGTCTCATGGAGTGGCCTTTGTTGTTGTTGCGAGGTTTTTCTTTTGCGTATTTGCAGGACAGATCCTAGTTTATATGGTAATTTCCCTAGACTCAAACTGTGGATTGCAGTTTCATCAAAATCCTCGGCTGTTCTTAGGCGGCGAAGCCAATAGGAGATCACAAGACGAGTCCAGGCTCAGACAACCGTGCATCAATCTCACGGTCTCGGTTTGTTGTGGGGAAGGCGCCGAGCGAACGCAGGAAAGAGGTCCACCAGTGTAACAAACAGCGAGGAAAAGTAATGGTGATTCCACTGATGTGCAGCGGGCAGGTTATCAATAACAGTTTTTATTAGAAAAGAGCCAGAGCAAATTAGAGAGAGAGAGAGAGAGATGGGTGAGAGGCTAGTAGATGAAGAGAAAGAAAAAGAGAGAGGAGTGGTTAAAAAGAGAAACACAGAGTGATGGATGAAACATAGGACTAAACAAAGAAGAAAGGCAATAAAGGACCATTCTGTAGTTTTATATCTCCCTGTGGAAGCCATAACACGGGTCATAAATCATCAAAAAAAACCTACACACACACACACACACACACCTCCCCACCCAAGATAATTGCTGAAAACACAAACACACATAAACATACACACGAGAGCTGAAGCATGAGTACACACAGAATCATACGCAGAAACATCCAGACAGTAGTTGTGCTTGTACACAAACGTACTTTACAGTATATGCACACATACTGACACAAACATCATCAATATGCTATCATTGTTCTCCAGCTGTTGTCCCTTCAGTTTGGTGTTTATTGGCTCTGGCCAGAGGGACCAATAAAAAAGCATCAGCTGTACCATCCCAAAGGAAAAACACACAAACACACACCTACACACACAGACACACGCACAACGGTCACCCCTCCAGCCTTCTGTAGAAATGTCTTTCTTTTTACAAAGAAAAAAAAAGACTTTTGTTGTTTTATGACAGAAAAAAATAAACAGCTGAAACTCTTGGAGTGAATTTATCACACATTTTATTTATTCCTCATCTTTTTGTCTCACGCTAATTAGGGGTGCAAATTGATAAGAATTTAGCAATTCTGATTCCATTATCAATAACACTTACCTATTTGATTCCTTATCCATTCTCTTATTGATTTTCAGTGGGTTCTCATTGGCTCTGCCATTGCTAAGCAGCATATCAAAGACATTACATTCATGCAAATTGATTGCAGTGCTATGTGGTCAAATGCTTGTGCATGCTTGAGGTATTGCAATACAATACTTAATAACTCCTAGAAAAAAATAATTTGTTACATTGCTTTTTACTCTGTAAAATGACCTGAAACACATTGTCTCAAAGTCTCTTTAGGCTACAGCCCCATACATCAACACAAACCCCTGTCCTAATGAGAACACACATACGATCTTTCTCTTAGTATTTGGTTATGAACACAAAACTGACAGCACTAAGCAAAGATGAAAACCAGCACAAAGACATTTTGAGAAGTCTGACTGCTCATCAGGTTGCTACGTGTTGAAGTTCAGGGTCTGACAGCTGAGCTGGGGTTAGTGTTCACTTATCAGCTTTAACATCATTCTGGGTTCTTGGCTAGCTTAATGTTAGCATGTTCTCTGCACAGGTGCTTGCAAAGAGGCACAGTTGTGTTAGCAGTGTAATGGATCTTCTTTCTGTTCTCGATGCAGTTTGCACTTCATTTGCTCCGGCTCTTTTTTATCATGCTCTCATCCGTTTCTGTAATAGAAATAAAAGTAGTGTCCATATCCACGCTGCAGACTTTGACGCTAATTTGCTCCTCTGACACGCAAACTGAAATCAGCCTGTAGCACGAGTACAAGTGGAACCAATAAGTGGAATCGAGGCAAGCAAACTAACAATTGGGAACCAGTTCTTTACAAGAACCAGTTCTTGGTTTCTAACGCAGTTGACCTCGATTGCGTTGTGGCATAGTTTTGAATGATAGGCTGTATCACCAAGAATCATCTGATTTCAAAGTGCTTTATTTTGACAGCATTCACTTGTAATATTTAAAACACGTTAGAAAGAGGGGATTCAAGTTTTACGTGGTTGCTGGTAGGTAGCATAAGACCAGCAGTGACTGCTGTGAGTACAGTGCGCTGTATTGCCAAAAGTATTTGGGTTGAGGTCAGGACTCTGTGCAGGCCAGTCAAGTTCTTCCACTCCAAACTGGCTCATCCATGTCTTTATGGACCTTGCTTTGCACTTGTGAGCAACTATGTTGGAACAGGAAGGGGTTGTTCCCAAACTGCTCCCACAAAGTTGGGAGAATGAAATTGTCCAAGAGTCTTGGGATGCTGAAGCATTAAGAATTTCTTTCACTGGAACTAAGGGGCCGAACCTGACTCATGAACAACAAACACCATTATCACCGCTCCATTCAATTTTACACTTGCCACAATGCAGTGAGACGAGCACTGTTGTCCTGGCAACTGCCAAACCCAGACTCATCATGGGATTGCCAGACAGAGAAGTGTGAGTCGAGACTCCAGAGAACACATCTCTAATGCTCTAGAGTCCAGTGGTGGCATACTTTAAACCACTACATCTGACGCTTTCTAATATTTGTTATCCTTAGAATGAGAAATTACAAGTCTTGAGCCATCCACCATTTCTTTATGTTTTGCTAGAAAAATAGGGAAAACTTGGAGTGATTTACTGAATTGTGTGCAAACATACATGAGTTTGTACAATTCGAGCAACCTTGGTATAACCTTATTTTTAAACAATGCCTGATTTCGCTCAGGCAAGCTTTCTTGTATTTTTTTTTAAATTAGTCTTCAGGAATAACTCTTGAAGGTGTGGTTCACCATCATATATCGTCACTGCACAGCAGCAAGATCCTGAGTTTGAATTCTTCAACTGTCTAGGGCTGTTCTGTGTGGAGTTTGCATGTTCCCCACGAGTTGGTCCTAGTACACCAGCTTCCTCTCATAGCCCCACATGCAGAGGGTTAGATTAATTGGTCATTCTAAATTGACAGGGTACACATGTCGGTGTGAATGGATGTAGGTCTCTCTGTGTTAGCCCTGCAATAGATTGGCGACCTGTAAAGAGTGTAACCTGTAACCTCTCGCCCTAAAAGTGGAAGAAGATGGACGGATGGATGGATTAAAAACACTGCACAGTGTGCTAAAATATGATAAGGTTTCAGCTAAAGACTAGAAACTGAAGAAATGGGAACAAATAATGTGTTTTGGTAACAAAGTGCCTCAAGATGCATTTTAAAATGGTCTCTTAGCTAAGTTGTCTGTTATGTGTAGATACACCACTGGTTTATCACTTGAGTGAGGGGAGGTTTTTTTGTACTTGAATGTTTCAAGCGTCAGTGTTAAAGGGCCTAACAGAAGAAAAACACTTCTCTGAAAATGGTTAGGTAAAAGAAATGGGCTGATACAAAATAGTGAAAAAGCAGCCACTGCCCAAAGAAAACCTTTTTTCGGAAAAATCTGGAGAGCTGTTGCTCAAGAGTGCTCTAAAAAAAAAGACAAGAACAGATGGCTCAAGACTTTTGCAAAGTACAGGTTACACAGCTACCAAATCTTAGTCTTACTCTTACAGTTAGACATCACTGCATTAAAGATGATGTAATATGATTGCATTAATGTCAGATGATTGTTTTGGCAACAAAAAGGGGGTGTGGGGTATCACAGAGCCAGCGTACCCTTGAGAGTGTCAGGCTTTCTCTCGAGTGTTATCTTTCACAAAACACATGGGACAAGTGCTTATGATGTTCTCATCCAGCAACATTATCACGAGTAAATGACTAAGTCAGGGAGCGTACTGAACACAATGTACTGCTTAGCATTTCAGCATAAACCTCTTAACCTTCAGTGTTCTCATTTTTACGGAAGATTTCACAGAGCGCATGACCGCGTCACATACACTTTATGTTTTCATGTCTTATCGCACCTTAAAAATAACTACTTACCAGTTAGAATAGAAATAAAATTATTGGCATTGTTTTGGGTTTTCTTCATCTTCTCTTTTTTTTCCCCCACAGGTCAAAATAAGCCCAGAAGCGACTCCAAGAATGCTGCCTTACCAACGATTCCTGCTTAAAATCCTGTTTTTATTACTCCCAACTGTCTTTTAATAAACAACAGAGACACAGACAAGTAGACAGGGAACAGAAGACTTTCTGCGATTCAGCTCACAAATCTCCCCAAACACTTGGTCAGATGGCTTCCCACTAGCCTGTCTTTCAGTGGAGTTCCTGATGAAACATTGGCCTCATGTGGCTCAGCATGGTAACTGCAGGACATTTTTGATTCCTTCCTCAGACCCGGTCAGTAGCCAGTGACTTGCTTCTCCCTTGTGCTGCTGGGCGTCTGCTTTACGAGGGAAACCGAAGGGATGCAAAGAGGCCACGCTCGACGGTCGACGGTCACATGTTCCTGCGAGCTTCCAATGAGAACTCGTTCAATTTTCTGCTGTCAAAAGAAAAAAAAAACATGTTTCAGGAGCGCTGGTTAAGTGTGTTGGTATCTAACAGCTCTTGCGCCTCACCAAAGAGTTCAAAAACCATCCCCGTGCACACAACAGAGCCTGTTTAACCTTCTCTGGAACTTTTTGCTCTTTGTGCCTGACTGATTAACACTTGGAAAAGTCCAGCGAAGAATCTCCGAACATGACTACCGATTAAGGAATGTTAAACACCTTTTTTTCCTAAAGTTTTTTTTTATTTTGTTTTTATTTATTTATTTATTTTTGTTTTTTTGGTGAATTTCAGAATCTGGTTTTCTAACGGTGATGGCCAAGACGGCAGGAGGACACATTTTACTCTGGCAAAAAAATGTTGAATGTTATCCAACAGCGTTGATTTTACACACCGTCCTCTCATCTGTGCATGCGTACAGGAAGCAGACGCATTCACAGACAGGCGTTGAGTAATGTACATGTGAACGCATGCATGCACACAAACACACACACACACAAGCTTAGAACAAATCTTAGCACTTCACTTTTTTTTTTTTTTTACTGCTAATGTGAATCTTAATGTTTACAATTGAAAGACTGAACACTTGACTGACTGACGCAGCAGGTAGAGATCACTCACTTCTTAGCTGCAGCATCCCAAAGGTCGGGGTGTTTTCAGCCATACAAGGGGAAAAAAACAGCTGTGTCTCTTGCTGTATAAATATTTCGTCTTCCACCCAAGACACATACAGAGATGGTAACAAAGACAGAAAATGTCACAGGAGAGCGACAGGTTCCCATCCGTCTCAGTCCTTGTGTAGACAACCCCATATCTGTCACCGAACAAGCGATTCTCTTTTTCTTAATTAGACTCTTTTTCTTTTTTAAAGAAAGAATGGCAAATCACCCTTTTTTGCAATATCCAGCTCTTTTTAATAATAATTCAAAAGCAGCCAAAATCTTCTGCAGGCAACACTTTATAGAAATGACAATCACAGTCAGAGCAGCCTGTCGTGTCGTGAATTGGCATTTTTCTGTCAGTTCAAGGAGCTGGATGTTAGAGAAGGAAACCTTCCCGAAAGATGGTGGTCACCGTCACTGGAGAACAGGGAAGCCTTTAAGTGATATTCTTTGATGCATTATTTGATGCTTCGCCTTTGTGGTGAATGATAAAAGATTGAAAGGAACAAATGGGGAAAGCAAGGTTTGCCGTATCCTTGCACACCCTCGCCAGCAGCCTGATGAGGACAAAAAAACAAAGAAAGACATTTAGCAGTTCTCCTCTTTCACTTCATTGCTCCACTTTTAATGCTGAAAGTGCCAACTGTACCATCACATAGACCTCTGTAGACCTTGGTTTCAGAGAGCCGCAGACTGGGACCAATAATAGTAGGTCTCAAGTTTACTTTGCAGGGTTTCCATGAAAGAAAACTAATAAAAGATATCACAAATTAAAATTATATCGGCATTCCAGATAGCCAGCTGGTTTTTTTTTATTTTATGTTTGATTTTTATTCAACTGACTCCTCCTGGAAATGTGACTGATGTTGCATTTGTATTGTAATCACTGGACCAAATGTTTTGAGGCCTTCTTCTTTTACTGAGAAACTCTTTTTTTTTTCTGGTGGGAAAAACACTGGCTTCTCACAAAAGAAGGATGGACAAGGTCAGACTGTTTTCCTCAACAAAATTCGTCTCAAAATCCACCTTCCGCACCCCCTCGGCCAGTATCTTCAGCAGTATATCCGTTTTGTAATGAAACTCCAGGGGTTTCAAATCGCTGCCCTGTGGGGCTCCGCCGACGGTCACTCCGGAGGACAGAAACAGCATTTTGTGTGTTTGCATGAGGTGTTTCCCAAACTGTTGCATATTTAATCTCATGCTGCGTGTGACTAACTAGCTACTTAAAAATGGGAACTGTTTGGTTTGTCGAATGCTCCTCAAAAGCTCCTCCAAGAGTCCTAAATGTGAACTTTGTGGGGTTTTTTCTATAAATAACACAGTCTGAAATGTCTGCTGAGTAAAGGGAGAAAAATAGCTACTACGATGTAAAACTATGAAATGTATCTTTGACCTTCTAGACGTTTTTTATTCACATGTGGCTGTGTTTACTGTTTTTTCTAGTTGACTAATACTGTATGATGTTGTGTATAAGTGGGACTACTATGTTTTACTTCTTCTAACTGTATAGTATATTTGAAATCAGAGCGCGAAAGAGAGGACAAGGCGGAGGGAGAGTATTAGTTGCACTATAGGCTGTAATTGTTTAATTAACTGGTCTGTTAGGCCTTAAAATTCACTTTCAATTCAACACATAATTAAATTAACTAATATTCATTTGTATTTGAACTGTCAACCAAACACGTGCACATGTGGCTTTCTGACAGCTTGGTTTGTTTTGCACAGTTCAAATCGGGAAACTGTGAAAATGTTCCATTATTGTGAAGCTTAATTGAAAGAGATGGTCAGTCGCAGCATTAGGAAATGACTTTATTTGAACTGAAAGTGGATTTTATTTGTTAATAAATTTGTCTTTGACCACGCTGTGTAATCAGTAATCTAGAAAGTCCTAATTTGGTACATTTAACAAGCGAGAAAGGATTTCAGAAATATAATGTGACCCAAGTGTGTGTGTGTGTGTGTGTGTGTGTGTGTGTGTGTGT